ACGAACACGGATGTACGCATAACACAGCACAAGTGAACCGGAGTACAGTAGTGCACAAACAGCGAGAACTGAAGCTTCCGGTATAAATTCGTCCCGAACTGTACTTGGAGGGAGGCTTCCCTTGCGTCAGTGTATTGAGGGGTTGAGTTCATACAAGGGAGGGTTGCAAATCCGATGCCACGTGCCTCCCCGTACAGTAATGCTGACCAAGCCACCCCTTCATACGACACATGTTCAACGACGTTCCTTTTTTGCTGAGGTCTTGCGCTGACGGTTCATGTTAGTCGAATTCGCTGAACATATTTCGAGATTTTCGCAGGAAATTTCCTATACGGAAAGAAGTTTACAGCGAATTTTAGCCCTGCTCTTGATTTTGTGGCCATTTCGCCGCGAAACTTGACAAAATTCCGTTTATTTTCTCCGCTATGTCGACGTTTGTCTCCTTGCAACAAATCGAGATCCGCTGAACCGATTTCCATGAAATTCGACACTAAGAACTTTTGCTCAAATTTGTTGACACGTGCCAAATTTGGTTAAAATCTGACAGAAATAACGGACACAAGCTACACGCGTTTCTGTGAGTAACTCAATACACACTCATCGGAGCGGGAAACATTTAGAACGTAAGCTATACAGAAAAACTGAAGCACGCATTTCCTGATCCTCTCAGCCGTAGCATGCAAAACATCTCTCTTCACCCTGGCTGTATTTAAAACGACGCATGACCAGACAGGGCTCCGAACCGAGAATAAGGGGTCGCTGCTGCAACTTTTCCTACACCGCTTTGTGCGGGAGGCATAACAGAAGCACTCATTAGCGCTACATGCACAGTGTGAGCCTGTCTGGGAGATCCCAGCCGCGTGTCACTTGTTCCTAAGCTTGAAAACTGCAACTCAGGTCTAAGAAAACTCATAACCCCACCTTATTATTGCATTTATTTCTAGATCTATTATTACTATTTTTACATTATTTTATTGTTGCGAGTTCTTGAGCAAGTGAGCGACTGGCGGCTTCTCAAGAACGACTCAGCTGCAAGGAGCGGACTGGTTAGTAACATTATTTTGAGTATCGCACTCCAACGCAGAGAATGTCAATTATCACAATTATTACCATGTAATATGTCATTACGCTATATTCTGAGGAGCGTAAATTGTTGCTGGTCCTCGCCAGCATAGCCATTTCTAGCTGCGTGTCCAGCGGGACTCAATGGCCATATTTCACTGCCTCAAGACACTGAGAGCGGTGCGATTCTTTCTCTCTTTATGTATATGTGTATGTATGTATACATAGAATAGCGAGAGTGGAGGAACATTCGTCCATGTACTGTCAAGAATAAAAACTTCGGTAATCTCCATAAATGTTCGGGACACAATCGTTGAATATTCTTTATAAAATGAAAGTCTGTCTTAGAGACTACGTTGTTCAAAGCCCAGGACTTTGATTTCGCTCGAGATAACTATATTCATATAGTAAGTATGTACGTAAAAACGACCACAATAATAAGTTCTGAAGAGGAAGGCAACTTTCCGAAAGCACATTTCTCTGGAACTGGGATATGGGGCAGAAATGTGAAGAAGGGCATAGTCCGAGGGTGCACATTTTTGAAACTGCAGGCGTGTTATAAAAATCCGTTTATAAAACTTGAGTGTCACAGTTCGTAGTGTCTGTGAAGAGGACATGAAGAAGGAAAAAAAAAACAGAAGCGAATCTGAAACTGCGCACAACGAAAGGCTTGGGAAGAACTTATGACGTCAGTTTTTCTTTTAAATGCTTTCCATTCACAGCTCGCATCTGAGCTGTATATTTTGCTTATGTCACATTTGTTTCGCTGAATATTAAACTCGTTAACTTTTAACCTAAAGCTGATATTAACAACAAATTACTGAGACTGCGCAGCAAGAACAAAAACTGTTTATTTTAACATGAGATCTTTATATTCAATTACGTCACTTCCGCCTATTCGTGACGCTCTGAGGAATAAAAACGTGATGTGTCCAGGTCAGCGCACAAAAGCAGCTTAGGTAGTGCCGTCTAGATCAGCGGTACCGCAGCCCGCGAGACAGCTCCGTTTTGCGCCTGACAGACAGAAGCGCCGGACCAAAACTGTCTCTGTGGGAGATGGGTAAAAATGAAATGTGTCACAACGGCAGATGCTCCCAGACTGAAACTCGGGATTACTTCTTCGCATGTTTATTGTGTATATGCTCAATGCCCAGTGGCATTAACTCATGTATCACTTTAATTCTTGTATTGAGGCGTTACCCAGGTGTCTGGTAGAGTCAAGACGGTGCACGTTTTCAGTCTGTGTGTAGTTTCGCCATTGTCCAGTAGGTTCACTGCTAGTGCATTAGTGTGGTTTTCTGATTTTCTTGTATTTGGTATTCCACTGAGCACTGTGTTCATTTGCAGATATTCATGGATCCTGTGGCTGTTCGGTACCGAGGTGTGTTCAGGATGGATCGGAGAGTCCTGGATTGAAAGCAGGGACAAGATTTCTCCGCAGTGCCTAGACCGGCCTTGGGGCTCACACACCCTCTTGTCATATATTACCGCGGGTTCCTTCCCTGGAGTTAAAAAGGCCGGGGCATGAGGCTGACTGTTCACCTTCATCTAGTGACAAGGTTAAGAATGTGTGGAGCTCCGCATCCACTCTTTATCCGCATTCACACCCTGCTGCTTTGGTGTAGGATTAATTTAGTCTTATGATAATACGTAATTAATTAATTTATTTAGTAGGCCACACTCCTACAGTAGGCTTAAGAGATCTCCATACTGTGTATCTGTGTATTCCCCTCATAAACTTCTGAATGCCTGAAACAATCTTTACGAAACTTGGCACGTACATGTCATGACACTTGATCCCATCTCAACGCCGTACTTCATATATCTGTCCCATCTGTCTCCGTGTCTGTATGAGTCTGTATCTCCATAACGTTGCTATGCAACGGCTCGGTAAAAACGTTACTGCGGCAAACAACACACACACCAATAGAAGAATCGTTGGGCGAATATTTTTCTATGCGGTCTATTCATATCGAAGAAAAGCAAGAGATCAGTTCTTCCCAGACCTTCTTTTATATATATGTATTTTATGAAGCGCCTCAATTATGAATCATTTGATAGCTGACTTATTACCGTATGAGCTACCGTGTTCACAGCGCTGAATCAACTGCTGCTGACGCCTGCCCGCTACCCTGACCACAGCCTATCAGAACCGAAAAACTGTAGCTACCTTCTGCACAGGGGCCCCCTCTGCCCTCCTCGCTGTGGCCTTGCCTGCCTTGTACGGCACACCGTGGTTAGATGGGGCAGAGAACTCCTTCGCAACTTCAACACTGGATGGAAGTGAGTGGTCTGCTTCACGCTCCGGCCACTTTATTACATATGGCTGGGTGGGCCCCACAGAGTTGACCCTGGCGCACCTTTGTGAGCAAGGCAATGAAGCCTGCCAAGAACGGCTTTGCTGAACTGAGCTGCGTGCTTACTTAGTCAGTCAGTCAGTCAGTCACTTGTCGGGTATCCTGACTCATTTCTCAGTCTCTCAGACACTTGCCGAGATGGTACTTCCCATCAGGCCACGACCAGTTACCTCCACAACCCCTCCACCTCATTACATACTAATCATCACAACATCCGACACTACAGAGTCTGAGCTAGTGACAGTGCGACAAGATAAACCTGTACATATGCTAGAGAACTGCCATCGAAATCAACGGTAAACTGGAAATAGCGCTACAGGAATCCTACACGTTACAGGGGAAAGCCTTTCCTTGCTAGAAATAAGAACTGCTCGCTCATTCGTGGCCTGCAAAGTAAATTACTCTTGATGCAAGCTCAACAGTTCGTTGATATGTTAGCCGGAAAATTTGTAACTTAACTGTTACAAAACTCTATTATATTGTAACGTGTCGGGAATCCAGAAGAGTCACTTCTATGGAAACGCTATAACAGACCGTTGCATAGGAAACAACAATCGCTCTATTGTAGTTCTAACAGGCGTCTCCATGGTTATAACAGAAGGTTCGTTGCATAGCAGCGACTGAGGTTATAAAGCGGGGTTGAATGCATTCGCACAGTGAGTCTGCTATAAACCGCCAGAGAAGACAGTCGAGTATCGGCCGAGACATTGTGTAAGCAGTATTTGTAGCACTGCAGGTTACACTGGTCGCTCTACGTTATTCAGGACAGAAAAACTAATTCCTTTTAATTTTTATTATTGCTATCTGATACATTCCTCCTGTTGCTTTCAAAATTCCAATGGGGCCATGTCTGGCTTGCCCTCACACCGCTGAGGTCTGTGTACATTCCTATCTTTCTACCGTTAAATTTTATGTTTCTAACAGACAAGTCACCTGAGTAGTTTTTTTTTCTTGGCACTACAGCCCCAGTGGGCCTGGGCCTACCTCCATGAACTTCTCCGTTCACTTCGGCTTTTCTAGATCTTACACGTTCGGTAGGACTCCTTGGGCGGGTGATCAGCTCGTCACAAGGCCTCTACCTGTACACAAACACAGAAAAACGCACGCACACTAACTGAACATGCATGCCCTGAGTGGGATTCGAATCCAAGATCCCGGTTTCCAAGCGAGCAAAGACAGTACATGCCTTAGACCACTCGGCAACCGTGACCGGCCCTGAGTAGTTTATATGATTATAAATTCGTAGTTAAATACAGCAACAAATATACCCACTTCTGGATTTATCTAGAGTCCGAACATTTCTGTTACCATTTCGTCACGTTGGTAGTATTGTTAATTCTGCACCAGAGAGGAATACATTTTCACATTCATGCACCAACCCGTCACAGAATTCCTATATTACAGAGCCAACAATCAATATTGCAGCCTGTCAAATACAACACGTTCTAATTTCTTTCCGGTGTTGTGCTAACTGCCGCTATCGACTTCACGAGGTCGGTTATGGAAGAAGAATTGCAGAAACAGATATGTTGTGTTGTCAGAATAATCGGAAATATTACTAAATGCATTATATGTACTCACCAATTGCTGATATGTTGTGTATGATTATTCAAACACTCGGACGCCTCACATCAAATCAAACAAACGTCAAGAAGTTTACATAGATAACACGCGTATATAATTACGAACACGATTTTTTTCGCCGGAACAACAAAACAACTAAATAACAACTCTAAACACAGCCAATAATTAGTAAACTGATAAGTAGCTAAAGTTTTCGCGCCCAACACATCGACGCGGTCGTGTTCTGACGTCACGCACGATGCTCCGTTGTTCACCGCTTCGTCCGCCGCACAGGCACACACTGGAAGCGCTAGCGCTGTGCATGGCCACCTCTGTCACTTATTGCTTCTCATACCTCGCGTGGACATAGCCTACGCATTCGCTATCCCCCACCCCTCCCCTCACACCATCAACAAATATTGCGAATAGTCAAATGCCCCGCAGGTGTGGGGGTCGAAACGAAGTACCATACAGTTAGACCAGCTACGGCAAAACTTTGAATATCCGCAAAATTTACATAGCGCAAAAAGTGATTCCAGTAATGTGCAGACTGTAGAAATTATATTTTCTTTCAAAATCGGTCCTTTCGTTGCACAAATAAAAGACTACGGTGGGATATTCTCCGCAGAAAATTGCATAAGTTACTAGGCAAGAACAGAAAATGGAAGCGCAACAGTGTATTAGTTCCACATAAACTTCTTGTAAAATTCTATTTTTCTTATTCAAATTCATTCGATTCGTGAGTAGTAATTTTGTGCCTGCCTAAAGGCCTGTAAATGGCCGGTCACGGTAACCGAGCGGTCTTAGGCATGCACTGTCTTCGCTCGCTCGGAAGCCGGGATCGTGGGTTCGAATCCCACTCGGGGCATGGATCTTTGTGTGCGTTTTTCTGTGCTTGTGTACAGGTAGAGGCCTTGCAACGAGCTGATCACCCGCCCAAGGAGTACTACCGTATGTGTAAGATCTAGAAGTGAACGGAGAAGTTCATGGAGGTAGGCCTAGGCCCACTGGGGCTGTAGTGCCGAGAAAAAAAAACTCCTGTAAGTAAGAGAGTTTATAGATATCCGAAAATGTGCCAAAAACATTATTATAAACTTCAAGGAATTGGTCGTGGCTTATTTGCAGGGAGAGATCGAAAAAAGAAAGCAGAAGAAGCCTTAACAGTTTTCAGGGCACAGATTCGACAACGCGATATTTCGAATACGACATAGGAATTCTAAATACCACACCGACCCTTGCTCTCTCCGAATCACGGGCGATCACGGGCTCTCCTGACGGAGACTTATCGTGGTTCTCCCCCAGACAAATGTCGCGACAGAGTCTCAGTTCAGGACCACTTCCTTTCGAATCAACTCCAGTTCACGTTTTACTAATCATCCTACAATTCGACGCCATGTAGTCTAGCAATTTCCAGCGCCGTAAAGTAATCCCCCCCCCCCCAAAAAAATGCAGCATGCCACGTCGTATAATGTATCACCCTTCCTTCTTGTATATTAAACTGCAACATATCAACTACAAAAGTCAAAATGAACTGTACGGTGATATTAGGAACGCAGGAATTTTTCTTTTAGTATGTAATGCCGCGTAGTCCGTTGAAACTGAACCGACGTTTCGGAGGAACAAGTCGCCTCTATTTTCAAAGTCTAAAGTACCAAGAAGAAACCAGCATGAAGCTGGTAGCAAGAAACATGTACCACCGAAACGTCAGTTGGCTTTTACCGGACTGCACGTAGTTGTATCCAAGGAGATATACCACTCCATATCGATCGCTGAGATAACCTCAACTCCCACAAGCTATTAGGATTGTTAATGCCATTAATCGTTGACTTTACAATGACCTGAACATTTCTTCCTCTGAGTGAGATGAAGTTATGGTGGAGACACCGGGAATGTGGCCGCTTGGAAGACAGATTAGGATATAGGAAAATAACGTCACGTGTCACAGTGACAGTGTCACGCGGGTTCTTGATTGGATGCACGGGTTTATTTACACCTTATACACACCGCCAGTAATTACACTTAATTATAACGCTATCGCTCTTTCTACACTCTATAATTCAGTTACACATCCATTGGTCTTCTTCTGGTAAAGCAATTAAAACACACAGCTCTTTACCATGACGGCTTCGTGTCTTATGACTTCTCAGCTGCGACTACTCGCGAAGTCAGAATCAGAGTCAAAGTTACTTTACGACTGTCGGTTCACCGCCAATCAGTTCTTCTTGGCGTCAAGCCCTTGAGACCCACGACCAGAGACCCCCCCCAACTGAACCCTTACGGTAATAGTCCTTATGTAACATCCTCCATAACGAGAAGATGGGGTTGTCTCTTATGAATATGCTTGACCTTCCGTCAAGTGTACATTTCGCCCTGAGTGGGATTCGAACCCACGATCCCTGCTTCCGAGCGAGCGAAGACAGTGCACGCCTTAGACAGCTCGGCTACCGTGACCGGCTTCGACGCTACTTAGTCTGCCTTAATGGCAGCGACGTATATACCACAGACACAACATAGCAATCTTACGATAGGTCTACAGGAATGAATACTCAATGATAATGATTAAGAGACGTCGGCATTAGAACAGGTTGCGTCAGGAACAGGTCACGAGCGCCAGCTTGTGGACATTCTCGTACGATCGATACAACTTTCGATTCACTATCGGCGTCGCTCTCGATGTTCTCGATCCTCTCGATCGACTGTTAAGTGAAAATTATGGCTGAGTACTCGAAAGTTAAATCAGGAAAATTAGTATTGAAAGGAGAAAAGGCGAGGTTAGTTAAAATGAAAGTAGGTTGTTTGGTATGCTTTAGTAAAATATTGAATATATGTTTCCAGATTTTTTTATAGTCAGTATTACACCTGTTATATTGAAATGGCTTTCATAACGTATCCAATGGCTGTTGAAAATACAAGTTTCTGCTTTCCTTAGGTTTTGAACCATAATGAATTGGGTCGTAATGTGAGCCATCCCATTTCAGAGCACAGTAAAAGATGTTAATCTATCCTTGCTTTATATTATGCCCTTAAATATTTTACCGCAAGGATTATGTTAGGTTGCTGGACCTCATGTGCACACACATCTTTTAATTAATGTAATACAATCATTTCAGTGGTGGAGCTATACCTGAACTCCCACATATGTCATTATGTATGCCTATGTATGTATGTATGGCGTGGTACTTAATTAAGCACAGGACATTTTTAATGCCATATATTTTTTTCATCTGTTATGCCTATGTGAAGGAACTCATGATCATTGTCATTTATGTTGCAGTTCACACAAGAAACGGAAGCACAAGAGACAAAATCGTGACAAGGAGGATGCACCAGTGACAGATGAAGATGCAACAAAGCATGGTATTTTTTGTTAGGACTGTAACATAAAGTTTACATGGCTTATAGAGATTTTCTACGTAGCATGCCCAGCCATTTTACCTGGAATTTAGGTTGATAAAATCGAATCTTCAGGCAGCTGTTATTTCTCTTCTTATTTTGCACTTAGATAACCGATTTGCTGTTACTGTTGTCATTAGATAGTGTCAGTGGTGCATTCATGGTTGTTAAACAAGTAACCAGTTGAGTTGGAGCTGCTAATCATATATTTTGGGTGAAAATATTTGGCTGATGAGAATTTTGTTTACTGTTTTATTGAGGCATTATTATGAACTCTCAGATGTGACAAAGAAATAATAAACTAATGCAAGAGCAAAAATTTTGTTAGCATATTTACTCAGAGTCCTATAAATTCCATATGTGATTTATTTCACCCATCAGAGAATGTTAGCATGTTAGCAAACCTTTGCGTAGCAAATGGACTTCCAATTCTGATCGTTGCTATTCTGACTTTAGGGTGGTGTTTACTGACCCATTGCCTAGCAGTGGTCATATTCATCACAATACATTATGTCTCTGAAGTTCAGACATTGTTAACAATGTGCTTCAGATAAATCATACTTGAAGCAGGCAGCCTAGGAGAACAGATCTCCATTGCATTGGTTCCGGTTCCCATCTAAGGTTGAAATGCAGTGTGTCAACTACTTAGTGAGAACATAACAGTCTCCATCACTGTCTGATGGTGGCATGCCTGGGTGTGTCAGAGTGGAGAATCTCATGTGGACCAAGTCTAATTTCAGTGTCATTTTGCTTCAGGTGGCTGGTGGAATGTGACGCAAATTGAGGGGATCACAGGTTCGATTGCAATCGAATTTGGCAACCAGACGTATGTGAAAGCTTTAGACAATGGTCTGTTCACACTTGGGGCTCCTCATAGTGAAGGTAAGTTGAACTTAATTTCTGTATGTGTATGTACGAAGAGGTTGTATGTACGAAGAGGCGGAAGTGAGTGGGTAAGAATGAGATCTGTGTTTGTGTATATGGAACAGCACAGATATGTTGCTTGGCAGCGATCACACAGCTGTATGACAATGAGTGGTGCCAGCTCCCATTTCTTTTTTATTTTGCAGCTGTTCCTATTTGTGTTGTTTTCACCATTCCCTAGTCTGCTTGCCATTATTTTCCTGAAGATACCATATGTGCAGTTTTATTTGGGGCATTGGTTTCCATTAATTTCTGAAATTTAATCAATACTGTTAGAGCTATTTACAATAAAATCAACATTTGGGGATGGGGAATTGATGTCAAGTGCACCTATTTTTGGAGCTAAAATATTTATATTCACCGGGCTCCAACCAATGGCTGATCACTCATAAATACAAAATATTAATAAAACCCATCACACTATTTAGGCACTAGCAAGGAGCAATGAGACACAAAAGAATCATTTCTGTGCAGGGGGCAGGACCATCACAATACCTTGCCACACACTTCATATATAAGAAAGTGAAAGTCAACAAACAAAACAAAAATAAACAGAAAATTAAAATGACATTTGCCAAAACAGTTTTTTTTACCCAACTACACAGAAATAAAACTTCCCAGTGACCATCCCTGAAGAATAAGACGGTTCTGTACTCCAAAAAATAAAATAAATAGAAAAATAAAAGGAGAGGCAGTAAATCAAAATAAACGACAAATTTCTCAGTATGTGGAGGCTGCTCAGATGGCAAGGCCCTAAGCTGTAGCGTATTAGCGTGCGTGTAAATCCAGGAATATCTGGATTCTATTTTGTTATCTGTGTTACCTGTTGCATAGTTTGATGTAACTTGTGGATTTTCAGGTGAATGCCCATCTCCTGAAGAGGTTCTAACAGCATTCAAAGTGAATGACATGAAAATAGCCCTCAAGTCTGGATACGGCAAGTACCTGCGGGTTGACAAGGATGGGGCTGTGACTGGACGTTCTGATGCTGTTGGGCCTATGGAACAGTGGGAGCCCATATTCCAGGTACAACTGAAGGGCTTGCTTTGCTCCCCTCATTTCTAGCATCCTGTACACATTCTGCTGTGGGAAGGAGCTTGGTACAGTGAGGGACGTGTCCACCTAACAGAAGGCAGTGGCCGAGCTCCATATTCTGTGTACAGACATTAAGAAAGCATAAGCCCCCCCCACACACACAAATGAAAGCTCAAGAAGACTGATGTGGATAGTGCAGCTAACTTAGTGCAGACCAGATTTGGGGCTGCCAACCCTGGGGGGAAGACACCACTTGCAAGACCTAGGCATAGATGAGACAGTAACACTAAAATTGATCTCAACAGAACAGTGTAGCCGGGATAGGTCACACAGGATAGAGACTATGCAATGAGCTAGATAATTGAGGAACTGGGGTTTCATTCTTGGCAGGGGCAACGGTGCACAGGCCAGATCTGTCTGATGGGTGCTGCGGATTCTGTCCCTAGTGGGAAGTGGCCAAGGCATGAAGCCAACCACTACCTCCAGCCAATGGTGGAGCTATGCCTCCACTCCCCCTCTTCAAGATGTGGTGCTTAATTAAATACAGTGACACTTACCGTAGAGAAACAGACTGGATTAATCTGGCTGAGGATAGAGCCCAGTGGCACACTCTTTGAACATGATAATGAATTCTCAGGTTTCATAAAAGGTGAGGAATGTATTGATTAGCTGAGTAACCATCAGCTTCTCAGTGCAGGAGTACATGGCAGTAAGTTCAGAAGTGGTATTTAATTGGCATCTTTTTCCCACACAAACAATAAGCTGTAAAGATACAGCACTGCATGAAGATGTGACACAGTGCAGGCTAACAGATGCTTACCTCCATCTGCAGGCAAGGCATTTCTCTGAAGCATCAGTAGCTGCTTGCCTCAGATCCCAGAACACAGGAATTCCCACAGTCACTGTTGTGATAACCTCAGATCTCACATATAAGAATCCTTGCAATGTTCCAGGATGGGAAGTTGGCACTACTGGGATGCAACAACTGTTTCATGTCTGTCGCCCGTAATGATGACTCAGTAGTGGCAATCAGCAGGACAGTGGGTTCAGATGAGATCATACAGATTCGTTCACATGCTGTGAGGGAAGTGAGGCCGGGCTCTAACTTGCCCGAGGAAGAACAAGGAAGTCTCGCACAGATTGAGGTGAACTACGTGTAAGTATTACAACTGCACATTCTGCCCACTGTCTAGTTTTCACAGGGTACCCACATCTTGTCACTGGTGAAAAGGATATACAGTACCCAAACCACAACTTCCTGTTGACATGCAGAACAATAATTGACTTGTACCTCGAGTTTGCAAGGCCACCACATCAGAAACATCAAAAGATTGTTTGTTAACTGGGGGCTCTCAAATAAAGGAAAATTCTGTACTTGGAATATCTGTTAACCCATTGCACATGGCAAGCCAATTAGATCAGTTCACCATATTTTGATTAAGACTGCTGGAACCAGAGAGAGTGGCTCAATTGTAGTCACTTAGTAGCGCATTTATTTCAGTAGATGGCATTAGGTGGTATATACCAATATGTAGGGGAAAGAACAGACTTAATGCTATCTACATATAAATGATTTGAAGGTATAGGACTGAGGTCAAGAATATGTGGATCTATACATCCACTTCCCAGTACGTCTTCATACCTTACTTGTTGAAGTTTGTGTACAGCTGCATTTACCAGTGACCAGCCTTGGTATTTTTATAGCATGTAGTTCTGTGGCAGGGCTTGGCAGTCAGAAAGTTAAATAACCTAAGTGGTAATTAAACCCATACACATAAATTGTTCTCGACACTGGCTACAGACACTGGTCTCGTTGCAGACGTAAGTTCCAGAAGTTCCAGGACAAGAAGCTGCGTGTGAACACAAACGATAGGAGTGAACTGGAGCTAGCAAGAGCAGAGGGGAACCTTCATGAGGCTCTGTTAGATCGACGCAGCAAAATGAAGGCTGATCGTTACTGCAAATAGACACCAGATTGCAAGGTGATATCTGATTTTAGGAATGGTGATTCTTGTATGAAACATGTTTCTGTTATAATGTACATTTTGGCTCTGGTCATTGTAGCAGATGAAAGCAAACGTTTTTCATTGAGCCCTTGCTTTACTTCTCCAGGTTAACCCTTTCCAGTCCTCTGTCAGAAGGTACGTGACATCTCTTCCTGTGTAGGCCCTACATGAAGTCCATTGTTGGAAGCCTATTGCCCCTGCTTTTGTGAATTCATTCTCATATTACCATGTGCTGCTGAACAGGATAGATTAGTGGTAATGCTCTTAAGACTGGTGTTTGAGAGGTGCTGAGTTCAAATCTTGGCTAGAACACTGGCTATCCTGGCTTTGATTTTTCATGGTTTTCCCCATCCCTTCTGACAAATGGTGGGATAGTACCTCAGTTAGGTCACAACCACTTTTGGATCCTTTCAAATTTATTATTCATCCTACCACTTGATGTTACGAGTGTATAGTTATGATACTGAAATCTTCATAAAATAAACCACCACAAAACAATCTGTGCAGTGTTACATTTTTAGCTCTTTACACTCTTTAGCATATCTGTATAGCAGTTTGTGTTGAGAACAAGAGATGGAAAGATTTTCCTGTACCACCCGTTTGTTTCATTACAAATTAATTTGAAGCTGGTGGGAGTGAAGTCAGAGAAAAAACAGTGGGTACAGGTCAAAGAAATCCATGTCTAAAACATCTTAAGAATGTGTCGTCATCATCAGGCAGTTATGCATATTGTTGTATCATCATAAGAGAGTAAGTAGATTCTGTTCTCAACAGATGATGGGAACCAAAATCGTCGCACCAGAGATCTCGCTGAACACACAAAAAGACTTTTCTTCCATAAAGGTATGACGTACCCTCCGGGATATTTTAGACAGAGTAAAAGTAAGGTAAGTAAGTATGTCTTGTTATTTAGTACCTTTATATCAGTGGCGTGCGGTACTATTTTAGGTAAGGGAAGCAGTGGTACCTAATAATCGAACTGATAGCAATCAACTCACCAAAATTTACGTCACTTATTGAGTCAGTAAGGTCCTTTTGTATTCTGTTCGATAAACCTGTAAATACTGTACTGTTCTCAAGGTGAACATTGAGTTTATGACCATATTTCCTCAACAAGTGAACTAATTCCACATAATTACCTCGGTCGATAGAATCCACGCTTTCGTCATGACCACGAAGGCCAAGTTGCCACTTTCCTAAATGGCAGATGATATCAATCAAGCGTTTCATTATTTCTCTATGTAGTATCGTCAGGCGCTTTTGAGTGTCAAGTTGACAGCCAATTCGAGATTTCCTGAACATAACAAGTTGCACTGTTGAAATAATGTGAGTCTGAGAGTTCTCATGTCGTTTCAGTGCTTTATGAAGTTTGCTGGTATCACCAAACCTAGTCTTGTTTCATACATTTTTTCCTTGAGAAACAATATGCATGGCCAACAAAACAATTTTCCTATATTACGGCGACCGGATAGCCACTCTGTTTTAGAATACTATTCCAAATTAGATTTGGTTTGTGCTTGTAAGTTCTGGCACCTCTCATGTCTGTCGTCCTCTTTCTATAATTATTTTCTTTTCAGAAAAGTCCCTGCTATTAAACCTCCGTTTTAAAAGGCTTTCGATTGCACAGTCGCAGTCGCATTGTCTGCCAGCATTCATTTTAGCTGTTGCCTGTGCGTGTAGTCTAATTACGCTCCTGCCCGTGTACCGCAGTAAGAGATTTGCTTCCCTTAAACGCAGATAGCTTCTTTCTGATGCATCAAAATACGATCACAAATACAATCTTATGCCATCTAAATATACACTTACAATATTTTAAGTTAATACTTAAGGTTACCTATAACACCCAACAAGACTGAAATCACACATAAACAGTTAATTTTCTCATAACCATTGAAAGAACACAGGCCTTCACTTCCATATCACAGGCATTAGCCCGCAAACAGAAAGTTGCTTTCTTGCCCAGTTCGTGTGCGACGAACTTTAACGGAGAATAACGAAAGAAACTTTGTCCGTCCCACCAAGCAAGGGAAGGGAGGAGGCATGTGGCCTTGAGCAGGAACACGCGCTAAATGACAATATTCAAATCCTTATTATTCAAATTAAATTATTTATATATGAATTCTTTTCTTTTCGTTTCTTAACTACGGAAGCAATGCTTCCCTTGCTTCCATGCACGGCACGCCACTGCTTTATATATGTTCAAGCACAAGCAACATAAATATGTAATGGGTTTGTGTGTGTCCATCCAGCTGCATATAAAAGTTCTTAACAGATTTTCATGAAATTTGATACTGATGATCTGCACTGTAATGTTTTTCACTAGAATTGGTGGGCAAGTTGTGCACCAGTCACATGTAGTTGGCTGGGAAGGAAGAAAAAACATAGAACACACAGCGATGCCAAGTGTAGCACTGTTGAACATTGGTTTTCAGTGATTGTGAATTGTTTTGTCAAATGTATTTGCACAAAATATTAGCTATGGCTGATAAATCTATACCTTTCTTCTCCATCAGGAAACAAGATTACAACACTGTTCAAAGAACGGGTGCAGACGTGCAGCAACACAGTTAAGCTGCCCATGATTCTGTCACATTGCTTCTGAGTAGACTGAGCTGCTACTGCTTGTCAGTAGACCTCCTTTGCACACATTGATCACTGACAACCTCAACTGAGCCATCAATTCTAGTGAACAACACTGTGTTTTTAAGCAAATTTTGTTTTGGTCCACAGCTCTCTGTGTAAAGCCTATTTTACATGAAGCTCAAATAAAACTTATAAAAGAAATGGCTCATCACTGTACAAAGTGTCATGTGCATTTCATTAAGGTCTGAGAAGTTTATTTGCAACAATTTTCAGTATGGTGAATACTTAGTGAAATACAAGGAAACATAACTTGACACGTGTTTCAATATTAACTTCCAGAAAATATATTTGTATATGCAATAAATGATGAGATATGTGGAACTGTGAAGAAGCAGACTTCATTGGGGTACCCTCTTACACTCCATCCTGCTTTTCCACCCATGTGCTGAAGGCAGCCTATAAACAAGGATGAGGCCCAGTTTTAAATCGCCAGTCATTACGTTCAAAGTACATCACCAAAAGAGAATAATCACCAGTGGTGAANAGAAGCGTATCTTCTGTTTTAAGTACACCTTACTTTACATTCGTAGCGCCTCCACAAACTTTCATCAATAACACTTAACTGGCCAAATGCAAAACAGAAGTACCAACTGCTACACTATAAAATTTAGTTTCACAATGAGAAAAATGAACACAAGTTTTCTGCGATTTTTCCGAAGATTTTATTTAAAATATGAGTACACGTGTGTTGTTAATCAACTTTTCTTCATTTGAGCATCTCCACTTTCCACTAAGTCACGTGCAACTCTGCAGCGTGACGTCTGGTCATCAGTCTTCATGGCGGACAATATAACACCATTTCCATCGTCTCGTGTGTATTACATGCATTGTATAAGGTTCCTTTAGTTACAACATAATGGCATACAATCCGGGGGGGGGGGGTATGGAACTGCACTGTTACAGAATTGCATAGTTTAGCCTGACATGATCTGATAATGAGTCGGGTATACGTATGTAGACACAGCAAGAGAATGTGAATGAATTAAATTAAAGTAAATTAAAAACGTTCATGTAGTCTACTACAGTCAACATTAGGCCCAGACGGTGTCAGAGATATAAGCCTCTACTGTCAGGCAATGTAGTCGGTGGGAGGGGGATGTCAACACGTGAAGGGGAGGGGAAATTGGTTGCAGTCCGTTTCAGCTTCTGCGAACATCTTTTGATGCTTTCAGCCATTCTACAAATTCGTCCAGCATTACAGGCCCTGAAAACAATGATCCTTGTTAGTTACAAGAGTACTGTCCTTTGGGATGTGATGCCATATAGTCTGGTAGAAGTTCACCAATGTTTCAGGTGACGTACTGCCTTGATGTTCAAGACTGAAGAGTAGGCCAAGCAAGGTGTAAACAATATGCAGCTTGCTTGGCATAGTACGAGAAGCTGTCTCACAAGACAGAGACTACTTTCTTCTGAGAGACAAACCCCGTCCAAATTACACAGTGACACCTAATGTTCTTCATAGTCACCAATGTGAGGACTTCAAATCCAACAGTTACCTACGGTTCTTTCAGCAGTGACTGAACTACAACACATACCCTTAAAATTACATTACTCTAACAGGCACCCAAGTTTGCTGTTTCCTACTCTAAACCTGATACAGGACAGCCAGTGTATATGGTAGCCTGGCTGCTTAAGCAATGTGCAAGTGTTGCAGTACAGTCTTTGCATGCAATTTGGAACCTCACTCCCAGTCATTTTTAACTATACCAGTAAACTTTAATCACACAGTGTGTTGTTCCTTTGTTCAGTTTCAGCTGCGTCACATTGTGATACTAACAAGGAAAACATCCTGGGTGAAGAACGTGTGCTTCTTCATGCACCGAGGTAAAAACTAAATTATGCTTGCTGAAGGCCATTACTGTATTCATGTAAGCAGAGCTCAGCCAGTTCAATCCAATTCACATCTATCATTACTTCCCTAAGATGTATATAATTGTACCTCTATGTGCAGGAAGCTACTCGCTTTGTATCATGCAACATTTTGAACTGTTTGGTGTCTTACATGTTTGGTATTGAATTAACAAGGTTGTATGCCCTTATTCTGCTACTTACAAGCGCCATCAACATCATAATTAGACAGGTCATTGGCTATGGTGCGGGAAAACTCCAGGATGTTACACCACTGGTCCTTGTTGATCACTTTGTACTTCGAACGTTCGAGGAAGTTGTTGAACTGCCCAAAGAGGGTCCAGTGTTTACCAAGCAGCAGCTGCAGCATGGCCTTTGCCGTCTCTATGTCCATGCTGCGCTGGTCTTTGTCCTGCTGAATTGAAACAACATCCAGTAAAAAGGCAAGACAATCAGCAGTCAGAGCTAATCAAATATACGCATCACTGTCATCTAGTTTATGACACCGTGCAGTCACTTTTCTGTTTGTTTTTTGATTTGTTGATAATAAATTATATTCTGCAAACACATCCCGTCTTTGTAAGTTTTGAGGTTTTCACGGCGATGACAATGAAGAAAGTCGTCTTCTGGGTTTAGGCACCGTGTATTCTTCGTTTTGGCCGACGTTTCGGAGGAACGTAGCGCCTCCATCTTCAGAGCAGTTGAATGGTTTGGAATGCGGAGAGCAGTAGCTGTGGTGATAGGATGTGAAAGGTGCTGCTTATATACGAAGTAGGCAGGGGGGGTGGTTAGGGAGAATGGACCAATGGGAGCAGTGGGGAGCGATTAAGACCAAATATGGTGTTGTGTTGATTAAGGGAGGGGGGGTTGAGAAACGGCCAGAGAATCCAGGAACCTTGAGGTCAATAGCACTAGGAAGTGCTGTAGACAAGGAGAACCGGTAGGTTGGGGACAGGCTATTGACGTCAATGACATGACGAAGAACTGGTGTGGCTAGTTGGATTCTCTTGAGGGAAGAGATGCTACCATGTCTGTCGAGATTGTTGAGAGCGATAAAGGCCATATGATGTAGTGTGCTAAG